CAATTCGACGTTTTCGGGGCAATTCGACGTTTTTCTGTAACATTTTTCCCCAGCCAAATTAGCTGGAAACCAATGTATCGCCGAAAAAGGTAATAGTTAGCCGAACTCTTATAGGCACGGTGCATAGCCAAAAAACCATCGTAATTTTAACCCCGCCAATTTAAGCCTTGCGCCTTTGGGTTTTCCAGCCAAATTTTACCGAAATGCCCAGGATCCGGTGCGAAAAAAAGCGCGAAAAGGCCCGGGCTAATAAAGCCCGGGTTTTGATAGCCCTGGAAGCTTTCGATTAGGGCGGCTTTAAAACCTTCGCCGCTTGCGCGCGGCAGTACGGGATAAACCTTCGCTTACTGCAAAAGCGCCGGCAAGGAAGCGCCGGCAAAATAAAAAACGGCGGGCACAATAAAAAGCTAACAAAAACCGAAGATTTTGCGTTGCTTGCGTAAGCTAATTGGAGGCAATTAATTGGTAGGTTAATCCAAACGGTTTTGGGTGCGGTTTGTTAACAAATAAACTAACCTTTTTTAGGAAACGCCGTTACCGCAGTTGCCGTTGCCCAAGCCGTCGATTTAATCCTTTGCCGCCGGCTAACCCTTTTTTCGACGAACGCTAAAAAGAAATGGGTTTAAGCCTGGCTTTTGGCTTATAAAAAGCTATTAAAGCGGGTAAAAAAAAAGCCGCAAGCTATCGAAAAGCGCGCGGCACAAAATAGGCTGGTGCTAAAAGAATGGTTCGATTTTTATGCGCGGTGCGTAAAAAAATATTAAATTAAGCCGGAAAATAAATGGAATTCCAACGAAATAAGTGTTAGGGGTTAATCGGTGCAAAGGCGGGTGGTTACCGGGTTACGGGCCGGATGCGGTATTTCCTTTGTTAAACTTCCGTAAATTTTTTACCAAAAGTGCTATCGCCAACAAAAATTGTTCCTTTTTTAACCTCCCTTTCTTTCGTGCCCTTTCGGGCACCCGGGGTCGGTCTTTTAAATCTTTCGCGTTCCAAGCGCTTTCGTGCAATTTAAATTTTACTTTATTTTTTAGCTTCGCCATTATGCTTTGGCCGCAATACCGGTAACTTACCGGCATGTCCCTGGGGGGTTCGTGCCCGGCTAGCTGCCAGCGCCCCTTTTTTCCTTTTTTACCGGGCGGTTTCGCCCGTGCATTTAACGCTTCCCGTTTTTTGCCGGGCGGTTTTGCCCGTGCTTTTAACATATTGCCCTTTCCCGATACGGCTTATTCCAAGCCGTTTGTGCCGCGCGTGCGACCCCGTAAGTAGCCGGTAGCTTACGGTATCCCGCTAAACCGCCTTAATGCCCGGCAACGCTTGGGGAAACCGGCTATAAAATTTTGTAATATTCGGAAAAATGGGTCCGTGCCGGTATATAAAAGGCTTTTTTTCCCGTTCGAAGCTACGAGCCCTTTTTTTTTTTTTTTGTGCACCCAATAATTATTCCAACAATTTTAACGATCGTAACCGTAAATAATCGGTATTTGGCCGCTCCCTTTAAATACTTGGACTTAACCGGTAATTGCAAATGTTATCCTTCGTACCCAATTACGTAAGGAAAGTGGTATTCCTTCGGGTATCCGCTTCGGGTTTTTCGGTCCTAACCGGCCCGCTGGCCCTTCCTGGCGACCCCGAATGCACGCTCGTATTGTGCACCCACGCTGCCAGGTGCAATAGCAACGCCCAATCGTTTTGCCTTTCGCAGCAAAAGCACCGGAAGTAATGCTTTACTGCTTGGTTCGTCCGTTCCGTTTGCCCGTCGGTTTAAAGGTAGTATGCTATCGATAACTTTTTTGCGACCCTTAAGTATTCGGCAAAGGTTATCCAAAACCCGCTTGTAAATAGTTTATCCCGGTTCGATACAATCCTTTCGGGCGTTCCCAGCAGCCTTTAAACGTATGCAAATAAAAGGTTCCCCAATCCTTTATTGGTTAACCTCGTAAACGTTAGGATAAAAAAGCTATATTTGGTAAACCGGTCGACCATTATTAATATTGCGTCGCGCTTTTTGCCGGCTTTATTTACCAACGTTAAAAACTTTCCGATAAAATCCATCGATAGCTTTTGTCCCGGGCGGTTTGGCACGGGCAAAAATGCTAGCAACCCGTAAAGTGCTTGTATTTTCGGCTTCGTTTGCTGGTATATTGTTAAGGGTTAATCGGTGCAAAGGCGGGTAATTACCGGGTTACGGGCCGGATACGGTATTTCCTTTGTTAAACCTCCGTAAATTTCCTACCAAAAATGCTATCGCCAACAAAAATTGTTCTTTTTTTAACCTCCCTTTTTTTCGTGCCCTTTTAAGCACCCGGGGTCGGTTTTTTAAATTTTTCGCGTTCCAAGCGCTTTCGTGCAATTTAAGCTTTACCCTATTTTTTAATTTCGTTATTATGCTTTAACCGCAATACCGGTAACTTGCCGGCATATTCCCAAAAAGTCCGTGCCCGGCTAGCTGCTAGCGCCCCTTTTTTTTTTTTACCGGGCGGTTTCGCCCGTACATTTAACGCTTTCCGCTTTTTGCCGGGCGGTTTCGCCCGTACTTTTAATATATTGCCCTTTCCCGATACGGTTTATTTTAAGCCGTTTATACCGCGCGTGCGACCCCGTAAGTAGCCGGTAATTTACGGTATCCCGCTAAACCGCCCCGATATTTAGCAACGCCTAAAAAAACCGGCTATAAAACTTTGTAGCATTCGGAAAAATGGGTCCGTACCGGCATATAAAAGGCTTTTTTTCCCGTTTAAAGCTATAAACCTTTTTTTTTCTTTTTTATGCACCCAATAACCATTTCAACAATTTTAACAATTGTAACCGTAAGTAATTAATATTTAACCGTTCTTTTTGGACATTTAAACCTAACCGGTAGCTGCAAATGTTATCCTTCGTACCCAATTACGTAAAAAAAGTGGTATTCCTTTAAATATCCGCTTCGGGTTTTTTAGTCCCAACCGGCCCGCTAGCCTTTCTTAGCGACCCCCCGGTATTTTCCCCAATTATCGTAATTTAATCGAATTCGAATTCGGTTTTGCCGGAACTTTTAATTTTTTAAATCCTTAACGATCGCTTTGCCGGTAACCTTCCGGTAAGCCTTTTAAATGTTGCGGGTTTATCGGGCCCTTTTGCGCTTGCAGCCTTTTAAAACTCCCGCAAACGTTTTGCCGGTAACCCCCCGGCGGGCTTTAACCGCCGCGGTAAAAAAACTTTCGCCGAAAAAAAACGTAAAGCGCGCGACGAACGCCGCCGCAACGTTTTCAATTTTAATGGATTTGCCCCCGAAACGGACATTGCTTTTTTTTTGCTTTATATAAGTATTCGCAATGCGTTTCCGTTGCAAAAAATTATTAATTTCCAATAAAGCGATAATTAAAACCTTATTTATTTGCCCTTTTTTAAAAATAATTATACAAAGCGTACGGTATTTTATAGCCGCTATTTTGGTCGTTAAGCATATTAAAATTATACCGTCGACCCCCGTATACCGATATATTTCGATAATTGTACGAAATCCTTTAAATGTATTTATTACAAAAACGTAATCGGTAACAAAGCTTGCGTTAAATTCCCCGAATGGTTTTGGGAAATAGCCCAAAACCTTTACAAAATTTTAAATACCGTTTACAAGCAATTGCTTAAAACAATACCGGAACTTTTCGAAAAGCTTATTAAAGCCCAATTTCGCGCCCGTAAGGCTATTTAAAAAGCCAAATCCTTCCATACCATATCGGCCAAATAATTTGCGCGCTATAAACGTTAAACCGTTATTTAAAAGCGCATTTAGCGCAAAATTGCTAGCGTTGCAATATTAAAAATTATTTAAAATATTTCCCAACAATTTTACGCTATCGCCGTTTAAACGAAAAGGCAAGCTTAAGCTTTGGCTGGCATCGGTAACTCTTTTAACGAAATAAAAGCGTCCTTTAAGCGTTTCGAAAAAGGTATGGTTGCTTTTTTTGGTAGCATTGCCGCTAACCTTGCTACGATTGCGGCGCATTCAAATACTTAAGCTTACAACCGCGCGGCTCCCCGTAAAGGTGCGGCGTCCGTATTAACGCCGGGAAATGCCGCTTTCGGCGCTAACAACTTTGGCGGCAACGATTGTAACGCTAGCAAAAAAAACGTAATTTCCGGAAATTTTGGTTTCCTTAAATACGGCATTTAATCGATTTTTTTTACATATTTTTTTAATTAATTACTGGTATCCCTTTTTCGAAAAGTAATTAATTTTAAAATTTTTTCGTTAATTTATTACAATTAAAACCACAATTTCCTTTCGTTATGCTGCTTTTGCAGCATTGCAAAATCCCGGTATCCATATTTACCAATTAAGCTTTAATGCCCCAATAAATAATTTTAAAATGCTTTTTTTTTGCCCCCCCAATGGGTTTAAATACCGCCGATATGCATTTGCCGTTACCCAAACGCTTAGGCCCGTCCGCTATACCATCCGGAAATTTTCCCATTTCCTTTTCGGGCAAGCAATGGTATTTTTTATTACGACGTACGTTTAAAATGCGGTAATTGCTTTGGCGTATTGCGCTAAGCATGCTTTTTACGAGCTTTTCGAAATATGCTATACCTTGCATGTTTTTCGAAATTTAAATATATCGTACCATTAATTTAAAGCGTTCCCCGTATTATACCGTTCCCACTTAACTTTTTATTTATAAGGCACGATATTTTACGGCTATTACAAACCGCTTACGGGTTTTTTTACGTTTTTTTCCGGTGGCCAACCGGTTTAGCACGTTAAAACATTCCTTTGGGTTATTCCTTTAGCCTTTATTATTTTTTTCTTATAATACCTTCGTCCTTTCCGGGTATTTACCCGCTAAGGTTCGGTATTTTCCTTATTTTATAAATTCGCTTCCAATAGGCTTGCTTTATACGCTTAAACAATCTTTTTCGTAATATCCTTTTTTAGGATTTACAAATTTTTTAATTTGTCGTAACCTATTTATTTAACCAAGTATTTTCGTTTTCGCAAAAGCCCTTTATATCCCAGCAAAGCCTTTACTTTAAAGCAATCCTTTTCCTTTTTTTCGATTTTTGGTTCCTTATTTTTTAGTTTTTTGCCGGGCTTTTTTTTAAACGCCCGCAATAAATTTGCCGGGAATACGTTATATATCCGGTAATTTACCAAAAGCTTTAACCGAAACGCCAAACCGGCTAACCCAACCATTTTTAAAACTTAAAAAGGTCCTAACCATTTGTTCGATAACTTTTTTAACGGCCTTTTTATTTTAATGTTCGCCGTATTTAATAGCACCTAATCGCTTACCCCAAAAGGTACCGGGGTTTTGCCTTTATTATAATACTTTTTGTACATATTATTCGCTTTTTTTAGCAATTTTTTGGCTTGCTTTTTAATTGCTTCCAAAGCCCCCGCCCTAACTTTAACCGTTGCCGAAAGTTTTTTTTTTAATTACCCAAAGGTTATAAAGCTTTTGTAGGTAAAACCTTATTAACAAAAACGCCCGGGGTTTCTTTGCGACCCCAAATGCACGCTCGTATTATGCATTTACGCTATTAAATGCAATAGCAACGCCTAATCGTTTTGCTTTTTCGCAGCAAAAGTACCCGGAAGTATTGCTTTATTGCCTGGTTGTTCGTTCCGTTTACCCGTC